CTTCCTTGTGCTCCAGACATCAGCACTTTCATTCCGACTGTCATTTTGAACAGTGGTGGTGAGCTGTCTGATTGCACAAAAATCAGTTGGACATGCCTTTCATTTTAAAGTGGTTACGAAGCACTGTGCCGGTTAAGGTGGTGATGACCAGGAAATCTGGAAAGAAACATAAAGTGCAGCAAAATGCAAGATCTCAGGGCATCTCAAAGCACTTTACAATTGATAAAGTAGTTTTGAATTGTAGTTCTAAAGTAATGTAGGATACATGGGAGACCAGTATAGCACAGCAGGCGCCCATGAACAGCAATGAGTTAAATAATCGGATCGTTCTGATTTTATTTTCCTGATTTTGTTTGAGGGTTAGACAGTGTCCAGAGTTAGATGCTGTCTAGGCTATCAGGGATAACTCCCTAGCTCTTAGAAAAGAACCTTGGTTACCTCCCCCAGAAAGGATCTTGTTTTAACATCTCATCCAAAAAAGTGGCACCTATGCGCTCCCTCAGTGCTTACATCGTCGTATAAGTCTGTATTTCTTGCTCAGGTCTGTAGACCTCTGAGTTAGAGCTACTGAGCTAACCGTATTGTGAAATCTTATGTGCTGCAGGATGTTATACTCTGGTCAGTCATTTAGTCAAATCATGCTCTGAATTGAAATGAAGGATGATGACACCTCAGCACTGGGACAGTGCTCTCAGGCTCCCCATACCTCATTGACTAACCTCACATTACACATTTCCACAGTACATACTCTAATCCTGCTGGGTAAATAGCAGTTATGTACAGTGAGTTGCTCTTATGCAAGAATTCCGTAGCTATGTAGTGATTGTCCCTTCCTTGCTGAATGACCAGTGCTCTGTACATTACACAGTATCTTGCTGATCAAACAGAATCCCTGTACATTTATACTGTACAGACAATAACTCTTGCCTTCCTGAATGAGCGACAAATTTGCAGCTGCTTTTGTCCTTATCCTGAAACTTCCTGCTTGAACCTTGCCACCTTTTAAAGAAAACCTCAAAACCTATCTCCAACCAACCTTTCAGTCCTGCCTCCTGATCAATCTGAACCTTGTTTAACATCTGTTTCCTTTTTCCTATTTGTCAAGCAGCTTCAGGCATATCTTTATGCTAATGACAATGAATTTAAAATGTGGTTTGGGGACCTGAGTATAATAGTATTTATTCCCCATTATGCATTGTTCTGAACACCTGAAGAATCCATCATGCAGTGTAGCAGAAGTTTGAAGTTATCCACTTCAGTAGGAAGTATAACGTTTTTAAAAGGTGGGACTGGGCAAATATGTAGAGATGTACAGCACAGAAACAGACCCTTCGGTCCAACTCATCCATGCCAACCAGATATCCTAAACTAATCTAGAACCATTTGCCAGCATTTGGCCCATATACCTCTAAACCCTTCCCATTCATGTACCCATCCAGATGCCTCTTAAATGTGGTAATTGTACCAGCCTCTACCACCTCCTCTGGCAGCACCACCCTCTGCAAGAAAAAATTGCCGCTTAGGTCCCTTTTCAATCTTTCCCCTCTCACCTTCAACGTATACCCTCTAATTTTGGATACCCCCACTCCAAGGAAAAAAACTTGGCTATTCACCCTATCCATACCCCTCATGATTTTATAAACCTCTTCTCGGTCACCCTTCAGCCTCCGACGCTCTAGGGAAAATAGCCCCAGCCTGCTTAACCTCTCCCAACAGCTCAAACGCTCCAACTCCGGCAACATCGTTGTAAATATTTTCTGAACACTTTCAAGTTTAACAACAACTTTCCTATAGCAGGGAGACCAGAATTGAATGCAGTATTCCAGACATGGCCTAACCAATATCCTGTACAGCCACAACATGACATTCCAACTCCTAAACTCAATGCAGTGACCAATAAAGGCAAGCATACCAAATGCTACCTTCACTACCTTGTCTGCCTGCAGCTCCACTTTCAAGGAACTATGAACTTGCACTCCAAGATCTCATTGTTCAGCAGGGACCTTCCATTAAGTGTATTAGTCTGCCCTGATTTGCCTTTCCAAAATGCAGCACCTCACATTTATCGGCCAATACAAGATGTTGACAGAGTAAGACGCTCCAGCTGGAGCTCCTCTGCTCACGGTTCCTTTTCCTTTTTCTTTTTTTTCCTCCCCCTCTTTGCAGTATTTTTTTTCTTCCCCCCGACCGACTTTTAACTACACCTACCTGGCGAATGGAGTCAAGGGAGACGAGTCACTACTGGAGCCTGGGCAGGAGCTGAGCATGCAGGCTGAGTCCCACAGTGCTGGCAGAGCGAGCAGGGGCCTAGTCCCAGAACGATGGCAGCAGAGCAAGCAGGGACTTAGTCCCAGAACGATGACAGCAGAGCGAGCAGGGGCCTAGTCCCAGAACGATGACAGCAGAGCGAGCAGGGGCCTAGTCCCAGAACGATGGGAGCAGAACAAGCGTGGGCCGGAGCAGAGGCAGAGGCCCAGAGCGACTGCAGCAGAGTGAGTCCTAGAGGGAGACCAGCTCATGGAGGCAGCATGGCCTTGTGTTCTGAAGCCGGACTCGTGTTGGAAAAGGACTAGAACTTCAAAAACTAATCTCCCCTCCCCCCACCGCATCCCAAAACCAGTCCAGCTCGTCCCTGCCTCCCTAACCTGTTCTTCCTCCCACCTATCCCCTCCTCCCACCTCAAGCCGCACCTCCATCTCCTACCGACCAACCTCATCCCGCCCCCTTGACCTGTCCGTCCTCCCTGGACTGACCTATCCCCTTCCTAACTCCCTACATACACTCACCTTTCCTGGCCCCATCCCCGCCTCTTCGACCTGTTTGTTTCCTCTCCACCTATCCTCTCCTCTATCCCTCTTCTATCCGCCTCCCACTCTCTCCCTATTTATTTCAAAACCCCCTTCCCCTCCCCCTTTTCTGATGAAGGGTCTAGGCCCGAAACGTCAGCCTCTCTGCTCCTATGATGCTGCTTGGCCTGCTGTGTTCATCCAGCCCTGCACCTTGTTGTCTCGGATTCTCCAGCATCTGCAGTTCCTACTATCTCATACTTAATTGTCACTTTTTTTTAATCATTCAGGACTTTTGAAACTTTAATCCCATGCTTACCTATTCTTTTTTACCCTGTAACAACACTTAAAGTATCTGTACCTAGGTATTCTGTACCTAAGATGGGGCCAAGAGGCAACATTACAAACTATTCACTGCTCTCATTGAGTGCAGGTGACAATAAAGGCTATTTTATTCTGATCAGTGTCCCGTTGTACTCTGAGATAATCTTCTCCACTATCCACCACACCACCAATTTTGGTGTCATCTGCAAACTTACTAACCATTCCTCCTATATATCTGAATCATTTATAATGTTGGCATTTAGAGGGACGTGGGTGACCTTGTACTCAAATCACCAAGTTAGTTTCCAGTTACACCAAGCAACAAGCAAAACGAGTGCTGTTCGAAACTTTTGCATTTTGTTACGAAGGACTTGGAGTAAATAACTAAAATCTTATCATGATTGTAAAGGACTTTGGATAAAATTGCTAATGGGGGAAAGAAACCAAAGAACTGCGGATGCTGGCAGGGTGTTTTTCTTTCTGGAGACTCTAAAATGAAACATCTTTGAATAAGAGGCCAGTCCATTTAATGCTCAAAGGTTTGACAATCTTCAAAATGTTTCACCTTAAAAAAGCTGTGGATTATCAGTCACTGGGTATGTTCAACACAGAGATTGATTGGTACTGGACACTAAGGCCTTCAGGGAATATGGGGATGGAGTGGGAATTGAAAGTTGCAGTCAATCAGCTGTAATCTTACTAGATCCTGTGGTGGGTTCATAAAGCATCACTGTTCTTGTTTCTCATGTACCTCGAGACTAGAAAGTGGCTGGCAGCTAAATAGCCCTGAAAGATACTCGTCAGTAGCTTTCACTGTGTTTTGCTTCTACATATCACTGCATTTATTGATTTTAAAGTGAATTCAAGATTTTGTGTTGGGAAAGATGAATTGTTTAGGGAGTGCACCACCTCTCACCCATCGAAACTCCCATTTATTCTCTGCTTCTCTCTGAAGACAGTAACTTGTGCTGGGGAAGTAGTTCCACAATCCTGCAATATCTTACTCAACTCGTCATTCCTCATGGGTGAATGCTGGAGCCTATTTCACCATCACAGAGTCATACTGGCCATGTGCACTTTGTGACATGGGATCTCTGGATAGTATTGGGACTGAGAAACCCACCTGGGATTTTTCTTTCCTGTCCTTACTCTATGGTTACTAGGGTCAAGTATGGTGCCCAGTTAATTGATTATCAGCTAACAACACAAATAGGGAACAAAGCTGAGAACCTTGTGCCCCACCTGCCTCAGTATCAAATGGCACTTTTCCCCACTAAGCCTTCACTGAGCAGTATGTAGGAATATTCCAGAGACACACATTATCTCAGCGCCTAGTCTAAATATCAGCCATATACATTGACTGCTGTATGCTATTCATTATAATTTACATTTATGTCCAAAGTATTAATATGTCAATAATACATACTGAAAGTATACTGTTTCAATTCATATATACAGATTGAACAGCTGCCCATCTCTAAATAAACCTCCCCATCACTAGAAAATGTCTTTGTTTGGCAGAGGGTTGTGTTCAGTTATAGAAACTGGAGCTTGCAGCTTTTTCTAAATATATATCCTGCAAGAGAATGATGCATAATTATAAATACAATATAATGCTGAGTGGAACTGACTTCACGAAGTATGTTCTGTCAGAACTCAAAGCTTTTTTTTCTATGTTCCTATTGACTTTCCCAGGGGTACTTTTTTGGCTTTCAGAGACTCTTCAGTCTTGCTAAATCCTTCATCAGGTAATGTAGTCATTTAGTAACTTTACTTTCTGTACTTTTGTTATAGATATGGGGACTCTGACACGTAGAAATAGAAAAAAATCATCAGTATCCTCATTGTAAGGCATGTAATGGTTTATTCTTCTACTAAGGGAAGGTGCGTGGGAAATGCAACATGAATCTTTAAGGCCACGTGGTCTCAGCTGATATTGTGGCCAATCTTGTATCTTATTTGGAGTTGTAAATGGTCAATAATGTACCACCAAAGATTTTTTAAAATCGCCCCATTTCACATTCACATTGGAGGACCCTAGTGTGAGTTTTTAATCAAGGCAACAATTTACTTTCACAACAGAGTCATGTATGAGACTACCAGAAGTATGATTCACCCTTCAGCAGGACAGTCCAGATACATACTGACTGTTGGGGTGAGAAAATCATAGGCAAGAAACACCCAGCATTTCAATAATCATTTGATTCATAAAGTTACTTGTTAGTCTGTCCTTGGGCCAGTGAAGCGTGTGAAGGAGTCTGTCACACACACACACACACACACACACACACACACAGGGGTTTGCTAATCCTCGCATGCTGTCAAGAGAAGGACAGCCCGAATGGTTTACGTTGGTGCTTCAATTTGAATCTTGTTTCTTTTGGTTGCCCTGTAATTCAGTGAAGTGACCGGTGTGTTTTCTTCTTTTCTTTTAATCCTATTTCTAGAGTGGGACCAGTTTCCATGTCTTTGATCAGGGCAGGTTTGCTAAAGAAGTACTGCCCAAATACTTCAAGCACAACAACATGGCCAGCTTCGTGAGGCAGCTCAACATGTGTAAGTGATACAGCTACCTACTGCGGGGTGTAGAAGGCAGCTCTGGACAGGCCAAAATTATCTTCCAGATTTACAATACCCAGTTTTGTCCATTCACTTAATCCATCAGGGCGGCACGGTGGCTCAGTGGTTAGTACTGCTGCCTGACAGCGCCGGAGACCTGAGTTTGATTCCACCCTCGGTCGAATGTCCAAGTGGAGTTTGCACATTCTCCCCGTGGGTTTCCTCCAGTTTCCTCCCACAGTCCAAAGATGTGCAAGGTTAGTTGGATTGGCCATGCTGAATTGCCCATAATGTTCAGGGATGTGCAGGCTTAGTGTGTTAGCCTTGGGAAATGGGGGGTTTACAGGGAAAGGATGGAGGGAGTATGGGTCTGTGTGGGAAGCTCTTTGGAGGGTCGGTGTGTACTTGATGGGCAGAATGGCCTGCTTCCACACTGCAGGGATTCTATGATTCTAAGATTTCTATGATCATCATCTCTTTCATTAACTTTCTGATTCCATCTCCACTACTCAATGTGCCTTCCAACTTAAGGATGGTCTTACCATACTTTGGCATAACAATAATAAAAAGGATGGGACACCAGACACTTTATTCTAGACACACTGCTGACCTCAGTGCTTGTGAATGTTGATTAACCTCACTGTTGTCTAGTTTATAACCACAATGCTGTGTGTGCAGCTTCTTTCAGTAGGTCTGACTCTTCCTGTGGAGTGAGGGACAAAGTTAACATTCTGAGTTGAATTACTTCATTTGAGACCGGGTTAGCTGCACATTTTTCTGTCCACAGATGCTGCTAGATGGGCTGAGTTTATCCTGCAATTTCTGTTTTGATTTCAGATTTCCTGCATTTGCAGTACTTGGCTTTTACCCTATTTTTTCAACAGGTCTGTGTTTGCAGGTGCTATGTTGTAGCTGGAGGATGAAAAGCAAACATTTAAAAAGATCATGGCCCCTGAAGCACGAGTTGTTGAAAGAATGTTGCTGCAAACAATTATGCAAGGCAGTCCTCCATTGTCAAACAGCAGCAATTAACTGCAGAGGGCAGGGAGGAGTGTGATAGCTAAAGACACAGGAGTGAATGTAAAAGGCCAGCTGACAGGTTTGGGAGTAGGAGAGGAGACAGGAGCTTCCAGAAGCAGCAAAAAATGATGGGATTGCTACTTTGGTTTTTGCAGGAAGTTTCTGGATAGAGAGGTCTCACCAGTAGCAAGGGAAGCAACAGAATGCTTTCATTTTAAATAGAAAGCATGCATCCTGACAAAGAACGAGAGAGACGGAAGATCAGGATGGTGTGAGAGAAATCAAATGCCCAGATTTATCAGAGGTGGAGTTACACAGAGAATCAGGAATAGTCACAAAACAGACAAAGAGGCATGATTCAAGGATAATAGATTTTTTTGGCCAATTGCCATGATTCTCATTGCCTTCCTTTTTAAATAGCGGGGGAGGTGATAGCCTAGTGGTATTATCATTGGACCGTTAATCCAGAAACCCAGGTAATGTTCTGGGGAGCCAGGTTCCAATCCTGCCGCAGATTGCATAATTCTGTGTGCCTCACTGTATGTTCCAAAATCCTATTACTCACCTTCCCGTTCCCAGGCCTTACAGTCTGGAATTCCCTCCCTAAATATTTCTACCTTTCTGTCTCTCCTCTTAACATCTTCATAGGTGGCTCCTTTGAAATGTTTTGAAAGCATTGAAGATGCGATATAAAGATAAATTGTTGTTGTTTCTTCCATCATCTATCTAGCCTGTTCAAAACATTGCGTGAACAATTAATTCCCTCGGAGATTTTCTCACTCTACTGCTGAAACTTGATCAAATGGGAGATGGAATTCCCATTTCTGTATTGCAGTGGGGTTTCTGATATAATCCTGGCAAAGTCACAGGAGCAGAAGGGGAGCAGTGCTGAGGAAATTTCTGGCCAAAGCTGCTGGAGTTTAGAGATGATAATCCATATTTATAATTAATTGAACCAAGTATAATAGAGTTATCAATGTTTTGCAATGAGTTGTCTACAAAACAAATTAGATTTAAGATACATTGCTTAATTGAGTAAATCTTGGAGTTTGCTGAAACAGTGCTCATTGTGTTGAGGTGATTTCCAATGCCATACCACGGGATCTGGTGTGTAGTAGATGATAAACTCTCATTGAGGTCTTTAAAAATAGTTTTTTTTAAAAAAGAAAACACAACCTTATCATGATAGGTGGTCAGGGCCGACCTTGTGATATACAGTGGAGGTTACATGGAAACTTGTTGAAATATTATTTTAAGTTGGAAAGTGTGCACTTTCCTGAAACATAACTGTTGCAATATTCTGGCTGTGCTGGAAGCTAGTTTCTGTGGAAGAGATCAGATGATATTTTGCATGTTGTCTTTGATGTTGTGAAGAGTTGCTGCAAGAATCTAGACTATCTTTCCCTGGAAATGATCAACCACTTTACTGTCAGTAGTGCATGACTTAGCTTTCATCTGTACCTTCAGTTGTCACTCAAGAGTTCAATGTTGTTCACTGTTCCCAGCCTTTACATTAATTGGTGGTCAGGCTTTCTCCTTGCACCTGGCAAGTTAGGTTTCATTGACCCCTGACAAGCTTCACTTCCTCTTTAAGGAACTGTATTTTACTGCTCTGTTTTCATAGTCACACATTTGCCATTTTGTAGCTGTATCTTGCTACTCCTTCAGGTTCACCAGCCTCAATCTCAGTTCCTCTTTTAGTTTTACTGGACAACCTCTTTGAATCAAAACATCTTTATGCCTTTCCAAGTGGCCATGACATCTGATTCTGCTCAATTCTTAGCTGCTGTCCCCGCCCAAGTAGCGTTCCGTCCTTCTGTCTGATCTTCCTTTCTGCTTCTGACTCTGAATTTTACTGCTTGTGACTCCTTGTGCTCAACAACAACTTTGGATTGTACGGTGCTTCCCACAGAAAAGACCATACGATTGACGGAAGGTAATGGTTGAAGAGAATTAAAGGAGACTTTTGAAGAGAGATCGATTGGTGAGAGAGAGAGATAATTCAGGGATTATTTAATGGAATAAGCAGAATTGCTAACATGCCTTGATTCTCAGTCTTGTCCAAGAAATTCATATTCACAATCTTTAAATCATGCAGGTCTTCTAAGGGGATGCATGTGCATCGTTATTGGCCGTTCATCTGATATCTGGCTATTCTGGAGATAATTTTCCTTTGACAGGGGGATGTAATTTTTTGGGTGAGTGTAACTGGTGCTATTGATCCATTGTTCTTGTTGTGGAGCATGAATCTCTGAGTTGGATGGCTAATCTGTTCTCTTGTTCAGTTGGGGGCATCACATCTACCTAATCAATTCTTTGCAGTGAGGGAGCAGGTTCTACGTGTATGTTTAAGATTGCAACAATATTGCTAGTTGTCCATATTCACTGCTAACGATTGAAGTGACACCCGCACTGTGCAGGTCTCAAGTTGCCGTATGGCTGACGCTTGTTGAGAGTGTTGAATGTTTGCACTCTGACTGGCTCTCCAGTTCTGATCACTGACCATCCTGACACTCTTCTGGTGAAATGGAGATGCCAAACAACATGCGCAACCATTTCTGTCTCTTGAACGATATCCGGAATGTAGTTAGAGAAAGGTCACTTGCATCCAGTTTCCCTTGCAAGTAATCATGTTTTGCATTGAGAGTAGGAATGACCTTTATCGAGAAGTCTGAAACTGGAAGAAGTTCAAATTCTGATTCATGCCTCCTTTCATTTCCACGGCAATAGGGTCCCTGCCATCCTGACTCACCCAGTAATTCAGAGTTTCAGACTCCTGTTCTGTGTCTTGCTAGTTTTTGTTTGAAAAACAATGGCTGGCTCTTACTGCTCTCAATCCACGCAATTTCACTTGCACACTTGTGATATCATATCTCATGTAAAACGGCTTCACCTTCTAAGGTGAAAACACATGGTGGAAAGGTCACCTGACTGTACCAAGCCATGCTGTAAAATGTACTTACAGATGTATTTCTCTGATCAGTGGCCGTACTTCTGAGTCAGCAATCCAGGGGTTTAAAGTTAAAAATACTGGCTAGGACATTGTAAAATTTGTATCAGAAAGGTCTGGTAAGAAAAATGAACAAAAAAACCCAATTTTCCTAATAATGTTCTTTAAGAAGGGATCTGCCACTTTCAATTTGGTCATTCTGTAGTTCCAGTGCCCCATGACCTGACTGATTCTTAATCATGGTAGTTATTCTATCTGCTCAATAATGTCAGTACCTCACTGCATAGGCACTTTGAGATTAAGTTGCCAATACCAATTATGTGAAACCTGTCCGTCCCCTAAAGACAGCTGTTGCTGAGGACAAGCATTGGTACTTGTGAAAGAGCCTTCATCCCTGTGTAAAATCTTTATTCTTTGTCATCAAAACTACTGAAATAATTTCAAGAACGATGTGTAGAAACACCAAATTTACTTGGGTGGAAATTAAAATTTAAATGGGAAATTCTTATCTGGGACTGATGAGATGCGTGAGGAGAAGAGAAAACAGTAATATGACAGTCATAACAAGGTGTGGAGCTGGATGAACACAGCAGGCCAGGCACATCAGAGGAGCAGGAAAGCTGGTGTTTCCGGTCTGGACCCTTCTTCAGAAAATCCAGACCCGAAATATCAGCTTTCCTGCTCCTCTGATGCTGCCTGGCCGGCTGTGTTCCTCCAGCTCCACACCTTGTTATCTCAGACTCCAGCATCAGCAGTTCCTACTATCTCATTATGACTGTCATGTTTCTTATGTTTCACATCGAAATAATATCATTTGTTTATGCAGTACACAATAATGGGATGATAATTTCATACATTTGAATATTATTTATCATTTATAGCCAAATTATTTGTTTGTATAACATTATTCCCTACAAATAGATTTTGGTTATTTGTACAATGGATGAGTTCTGATTAACATTCAAGCCGAATAAGGATGATTTTCTGTCACCTTGAGTGAGAGGTCATGACCCTAAATCTTGGTGAT